CTATTGTCAAATTATAAAGGTTGTACGTTTGAATTTAACATTAGGTAGTTTCTTTTGTATTCTCGACTCTATGTATTTTTACAAGGGACATTATGCACTTTGAAATTTAACCGGACTTACGAAATACTAAGGTGTCGTTTTCTAAAAGGCAAAGCCTTAAAGTAACATAAGTGTCAATAATTCTTAATGGTCCGCTGTGGGTGTAGAGTTGCAAGCACAATCCTAGTAAATTTTAAACATCGTACTAAATAATATAATTTAATTATGAACAATAACCCTGAATAAGCTTCAGATTTTTTTCTGGCATATAATACTATCCAACAAAAAAAGTTTGGTGATATATTTTGTTTTTTCTGCCAGATATTTCTGTTCAAGATGTATGAAATTTTTTAGTTTATCTGACATTTAAGTTTCCATGAGCTTCCATGGATTTTTTCTCGAATTAGTGCGACTCGCCTGGGGAAATAAACTCCAGAGACCAAATTATATCATATTGTCTCACAACGGAAAATTTCTCAGAGGGCTTTTTACAATGTCCTAGGGAGTGCCTGTTGCTTTAAAATGAAAACTCGAAAATCCAATTGAACATGAACATAGCTGTTTTGCATTACCGGACGCTCCCAAGGTAGCCACTAGGCAATAAATTTGGGGACTACATGGTCATGGTAGCTGAATGAGATGCACTTTCACTATCGCATCAGCAGTCTTCACTATTGAACTCAACTCAGAAAAATTGGTTTCCCATACAAACTTCGACCTCCCCTTTTCACCCCCTTTAAGGATGATTTCTGAAATAAAAACTCCTATATCCTTCCCCGAGACTCGGACAATCTCTATACCAAGTTTCAGCTAAATCGGTTAAGCGGTTTAACCGTGAAGAAGTAACAGACATACAGACAGACACATATACTTTCGCATTTATAATATTCGTATGAATGTAATCATAAATATTAGATAATATGAATGTAATATTTGTATAAAATATAATACCTATGCATTATAGGTATAGTCTACTTTGTAACGACAGTGGATTTTCACTTTGTTCAACGAATCAAGGGAGAATCGATGAACACATACTGAGCAAAATCCTGCCTCAAAGTAGTTAGGTGATTTTTTATTTCTGATGACTTTTACTTCTGAAATCTACTTGTCTTAGTAGCAGTTTAAAAAATGTTAATAAATAATAAAGAAATTTAATGGTTATATAATAAAGTTGATGTTGTATTCATCGAATAGTCCTTGACTGTACCGATACCTGACTGAACATTTAATCGCGAATTTTATCCCAAATCCTTTGTCATACTCCTTTACGAAAGTTATCTAACGTCTTAGTTTTTGTGTTAAAAGTCAGTATTATATAAAAATCTGCAATGCTTTATAACACGCTTAGAAGTCTTTGAAATTAAGCAAATATTTTGAATGTGCTGCGAGTCTTTTGGTGAAATATCGTCTTGCTACAACAATATAATTCGAAGAATGTTCTATTCTAAGTTTTGTTAAAAAAATATTTTAAAAAATCTTTTCGGGTATTATATACGCAACTGAAAATATTGGTTCACAAATACGATATGTAAAAATATAATTTTGAAAGTATAATCGACGATACTGATTCCTGACCCACTTGACCGATAATTCGCTTAAAAATTTCATTGCCTACGGTGTTGCCATATAATACATGTATCTTTTACCCCCCTAATATCTAAACTTTTATGTACCCTCCACAGTTTAATATTAACTTACATATTTTTAAATATTATACAGTAAAAAGACTAGGAAGGCTGTAAATGATGACACGGTTTTTTTATATTAATTAATTTTTTACTAACAGTAATTATGGCCGAAAGTAACAAATTCAGACAAATCACTGTTACTAGTATAAACGTCATCATCTGTCGTTTCCTAGTTCAATTATGAATTTATCAGTAATTATCCAGGCAGACATAATGTTCACAAGTCTTCTAAATTTTTAACATGTTCACACTGTTTTTGCCATTCCTGGGGGGTTATAGATGTAAAAGCTTCTTCAGTTAACTATACGATATTCCTAGCTTCTTGTTCGACATTATTGCTAGCGACTCGTCTCTTTAAGAGACTCCACATAAACCCGGGGGTAACCTAACCACTTTATGGCCGTGATTTATCAATAATTGGTCAGTCTCATAAATCGGTGCTTCTTTATGCTCTTTTATAATTTGATAAAGTTCTGCTTTCGACATTGTTGGTAAATAGGACAATCCATTATTTGTAATCTAATTTTGCATTTGCAGTTTTGGGAAACTCATAGTAGGTGCTTTATTCATTTGTACGGTATTCCCTATCATACCGTACAAATGAATAATGCGTTATCTGTGACGCTTAAGGAGTTCGGAGGCAAATTGGGTAAAAGTTTCTCTGAAAGCCATTTTATAAAATTTGTTCTATTATATATTACTATTATCATATTGTCATGGTAGTCCTTGTGATTTAAAAATCAATTGAGCATTAGGAATAAACCCCATTTTTCCACCTGCTTTAACAATAATCCATTGCGTTCCAGCAGCATCGCTTGTTAGTACTTCCTCCTCGTCATCTTTTTGCCAACATTTTTTCACTGCATATGATGAGTGAATATATGTTTCATCTAAGAAAACTAGTGTCCGACCGCCTAAACGTTTTTTTCTCATAGTATTGATATACTTGCGTCTCCATGCAACTATGTCGTGTCTTTCCATTAAAGGGTGTGAAATCCTCATGGATACCCTACAGCTGGCTGCAAGGTTATGTCAAACTTTTACTGACTAAAAGCTTCATCTGAAGCGATCATCACCTGAGAAGGGGATGATGCGGTATAACCGCCGAACTTTTCAAGTGCTTATATATTTTATATAAAAACGTAACGTTAGCGCGAAGCCGTTGCCGTTGGTACTCGCGGTAGCGTTGTGGAACTAATGATATTTTAAAATGGGTTATAAATAGTTTTTAATTAGATTTTGTTGCAATGTAAGGTTTTACGCTACAACAACTTCATCTCTGTTACTACTAATGTTTTCTTCTAAGGAATTTTCAAAAGGTAAGAAATTTTCTTTAAATAAAGTTGAAGGACTATTACTCCTAAAATAACAAATCTATCTTAACTGTTATATTTTTTCTAAAAAGGTCATGAAAACCACTATCATCATGATTTTTTTCAGGTATTTCAAGCCAATAGTTTAGGGGGCGGGGGGCGCTGTTTCCAGGAAAACATATATTCAAACAAATTTCTACCTTATTGTTTTGCAATGGTTGTAGAAAGTAAGCTTATGGTTGGAAAAAAGATTGATTCCTGAATCAATTAAAACTCCATTACCAATAACACGATTATAACTTTTAAGTTTGTGTTGTTGGTTAAAGTAAGACATCATTCAATGGATAAAGCAATGTTATAGTTCAGCTATAGCTAATAGTGGAGTAAAACTGTGAATTTGGAACAGTTACTCTATAATTATAAATGCATAGAACAATAATGAGCTTGAATCGGTTACTGCCTCTTAAAAGTACACACTCTGACAAAAGCTTATTGTGTTGCGCAAGATGTTTTGTGCGATATTTGGCAGTTAGGTTTAATTGATTTCATTTTGGTTCCTGATATGGACCTAGTCGTCCTTGCGTGCAGGAAAAAAATATGTTTATAACATAATAGTTAACAATGGGCAAAATTTTGGTACTTTATAAATTCGTTGCGCTATGTTAAAAGTTAATTAAGCTTATGGCTGAGAAGTTATTAGAATAAAATTGTAATTAAGTTTTAATTTCTCATATTAAGGCTCATGTTCTTCGAAACAATCGGTTTACGATGCAAGAACGCCATTGAAGGTAAATTAATTCTCAAGAGAATCATAAAATAATTAAATATAAGTAAACAGTTCATCATTTGTAAATAAATACATTATTTATACAATGTTTCCTTACTTCATGACATAAGAATAGTAGTGTACAATGACTCAAATGAACTGTGTTTTCATGTGATAGATTATTATTATTTATTGAAATGCAATGATTTCAATAATTACTTCTTTAATTTATGTTGAAAACTCTATTTTATTATTTTCTTTTTTCGGTCTATACAAATATATATTTTACCTCTGAGCATTTGATCTTGATATGTGAAGTCTATATAAAATAAAGCAGATTTTTTGCTTTAAAGAAAACCAATAAGTTGGCGACGATGTGCATCGACAAAGAGTTGATAAGGGTCAGTATCCAAACCCGGTGACGCTGTAAAGTTATCTGCGACCAACAGCATACACATTACACACTCAAAAACAAAAGAAAAGGGTCATTAAATTCGTGTCCGGACAAAAAGCTCCGTTTATCTATATTGATTCGGAGCAGAACTAAAAACTTTAGAGCAAGTAAACACTACACTCGATCTTAAGAGTTATTATTATAAATCAAGAAAAAACACGTTCAACATATAGATTAATAAATAGCTAATAATCATATTAATTAATAATTAGCTATGTGTTTAGTTGAAACTATTCAAAAGTATCAAAACTAGAGCGAACTCATTAAAATTGTAAGCTACATAATAATGGGTTATTCATATTTCACAGGCTCGCAGTTATTTTTTTATAATTATGTTTAAAATACTTGGGAAGAAAGATTGTGTCATTGTCACTCAGTTTTAGAAAACTTTAGTTAAGTGATCAATCATGTCTATTTATTATTCTTAAATTTGCTAACCTCATCTAGTATTAGGGGATTTCAATATTTTGGATATTTACTAGCAACTGATTGTCAGTAATATGAATGAAAAAAATAGTATAGTTTGATATTATTTTGGCCAAAAAGAGTCTATACGGCTACGCTTTCTTATTCACATAAATGGTTTTTCATAAAGTTAATAATCAACTTGTTCCCATATAACACTGGACTTGAGTGAAAAATATACTCGTTGATTTTTGCTTAGAATTCGTTTATCATTTTCAAGACTAAAATAATCTGTGATTCTGGGTATCAAAAAGTTTAAAAAAAGGACGTAGTTGTAATTAACTTTTTTTAATATCTGGATAAAGTAGACTCACAAGTGTTTTTACAAAAATATAAAAAAGTACATAGGTATTTTTATGGCACAAGAATTAACATTAGTTTATCTCTCATGCTCTTCGTTAACACGCGGGTGACCATGTGTTGGGTGACTGACTGAGATCTTGATTGTTGGTGAAAGATGTTATTCAAAATTTTTGTTTAAAAGTCACTATATTAAGGAGTATTTACAGCGAACTTATTTTGTTAAATATATATTTTTTTATTGGCCAAGGGAGGTCTTGGGTTGGAAGCCGTTAGGTCCAGCGGTGAAGGTCACGGTGTAATGTTTGCCATCGGGTGCTACATAAGAATACTGGCCAGTTACAGTGAGAGCAGCGTTTTCTGAATCTGGGTTATCCAATTTGCCTTCTTCCTGGCGGGATGTACCATCGCTGGTCTCATAGCTGAAAAAATAATATATTTACGTTATTAGACCAATAAAGTTTGAATATAAATAACTCTAGCCAACTTCCGACCGACTGCGCCAATTTTTTTTTTGTATTTTTAGTTGCCAGGGTAAAGTTTTTATAAAAGAAAATTTCAAAAACGAAATGGTGGTACCAAGTCCGCCCGGTAAGCTTATAGTGAATAAAAAAAACAAAAGTCAATAATTAAATAACGTACGCAAAGTTGTAGCCATCGGGTTCAACGTTGCTGTCATAACGCAAGATCTGCACGTCTTGTGGGTTCTGCTGGGGTGCGCCAGCGCAAAGCGCCGCGACCACACTCAAGACAACGACCTGGATAAATAAATAATTAACCGTTAAATACAAATAAAGCTATGATTAAATTTATCGAATAAGAAAACAGTTTGGAAACTCTTTTGTTTACGATTTTTAAGATTATATATTACCCGTATTATCATAAGGAAACTATTATGATTGATCCAACGTTATCTTTTTGTCAGCCTGACAGCGGGTTGTACCTCACTAACCTTAATAGAAAGGAAGCTGAAATTTCTGTTTACTTTATATTTCCAAAGAAACTATAGCAGCAATGATAATAGTTTTGTGCGATGCCATGAAATTCTAGACCGGTTTGTACATAATAATTCTTTTTCAGTTTAATAAAACTTACTAAACTAAAAAAACAATTATGATATGCAGGTACGCTTTATTTTTCATTAATCCTTTTAGAAATAGAAAAATAAGGAATGGATAAACACTTATTAAGTAAACACAATAATTGGATATGGCTCCTTAATTTTTTTTATGTTTACCTTTACATAAAAAAGAACACAGTAAGGTTTTTTTTCGTGTTATAGCATATTAATTGAACTTGTGACTTATGAACGGAAGTGAATCTAAGGAAACCTTATTCAATATATTTCTGTTCCTAGTTTGAAAGCAACTAGCATTCACTTATAATGCAATTTTTGTGTTAGATTCTTGACCAAACTCAATCATCAAATAATATGATTTTTATCTATTTACAAAATGTTGGTCACTCTACACTGAAAGCACTTGCACTTCTTATTTGACCTGTTTCATGAAAAGGGTAAAAGGGTATACTACGAACTATTCCTATAAGTTTAAAAACATAGTAATAGTATTCTAAAATCACTCAACAAAAGCCACGAAATTCAAAGAGCTTTAATACTGTGATTTTATTGTTTTTAGTTCACATTTTAATAACGTCAAAATAAGATATTATTAAAAAAAACTAAACCAATGGTATACAATGAAAAGCAATCTTCAGCACTCGATGTAATTTATGTTTGACATTATTTTGGTACCCTTGTCCATTGTTCTCAGTAGAAGCAATCACGTAAAGAGATGCATCAAGACACGGCACACTTTTGCAACAGGTTGCGAGTATTCATTACGGATTTAAACATTAGCACACATAACTACAGCTTTCGACGTTAAACGCACAATTATTATTTAACAAAATGTAAAATATTAACGACTCACGTATTTGAGCATGTTGCTTAGTATTCGTGTTGAGCACAAACTAACGAATGAGTAACTAATGTACATCGTTCATTTTATATATATCCCGGTGTACAGATCTTGCAAGCTGACATCATGTGAGGATGGTTGCAGTGACGTATGCCTACCACTTCACCGTGTTTGAGACCTCAGGCTTTTTTGTCAACTTTTGACATGGCTATTAATCAATCTCCCATTGAGAATTATCAAATTCTGCCATTACACAATTCAATAAATACTACGGATTATTTATGTAGTGAAGTAGTTATTATTGATTTGATTTAAGTGTTAGTTTAGTGTTAATAAAAGCGGTAACAAATAACTATAAAAAGTTGTAATTAATAAAAACAACTATTAATTAATTAATTAACCGAAGAGCTGGCAGCTACCTCGGACAAAGAATTAGTCTAGCTATCCAAAGGGGGAACGCTGCCAGTATCTTCGGAACCTTGCCTAAAGGGACTCCTTATAATAATGTATTTTAGTTATTATATTTTATTTTTTAAGGTTTTTAGTTTTAGGTTCATTGTTATAGTATATATTTTTTAAGCTAGTATTAGACAATAGTATATTTAATAAATGTTTTATTAAAACAATGCTCCGCGCAAATATAAAAAAAGGAAAATATTTGAATAAATCTTCTAATAGTAAATGATCACCAAAATACAGTTGGTCCCCAAAGGTTAGGTCACCAATTGAGTTTTTTTTTAAGGATTCAGGATCATTCAAATATGAGTTATATAAAAATCGTATATTCAAAATAAAATACATGCGGGGACGGATACAAAAGAATCCATTTTATAAAAATTAAAGAAAAATCTTTAACTATCCATTATTCTAACGAACTGCAGTAGTTTTAGAATAACTAATTGTGTCCGAAATAGATTTTAAGAAAAACTGTTCCAATGTTCAAAAGGTCGCGAATAAAACTGTTGCAGTTTTGGAAGCTTTGTAGGTATATGCCTCTTAGTATTGATCTCTTATGACTTATTGTCCATACAAGTTGGAGAGCCATAACTTTGATTTCAGATTTTTATCTGATTTAATTATGTTCATCTGCATCATTATCATTATAATTTTCACCCCTAATGACTGTCATGCCACATTATACGTAGACATGTTTTTGTCAATTAACTATTTACACATCTGAGTCATTAAGATGATCAACAACTTAGTTACTTTAGTTTTATTTTCTTTAATGTTTGGACTTGAGTCTATATGCAATGGGTACAAAAACACAAAACAGGTTCCAGGCTAATGGAAAATTACGCCATTTTGCCTTATAAAGCGACTGGGATTCCCTAGGGGATAGAGAACCCTAGGGGATAAAAAGCTCTAGGGGTGTGATCTTTCTTCCATGTGGGGAGAGCACGTGAGATCACTATAGATAATTTGACTTTAACGTCAAAGACGAACCAAGTATAAAGTACTAAGAAATAATTATAAGCTCTTTCCTTTTTTAAGAAAGGTAGGACAAAGCAGGTTTTTTAACCTTACGGAAGACCACAGTAAAATAACACTATCTTTTGGTGGTGCTATGTTTCTGTCGGTGAGTAAGGTTCCAGGGCTCCACGAGGTAGGGGTGACTGATATTTTTGGTATGGCAAGCGTCTATAGGCTATGGTGACCGCTTACCATCAGGAGGGACATAAGCTTCTGCCACCCTTTTAACATAAAAAAACTTGTTTCAAAGTATTTTTTACAAGACCATAAAGAAAAACGGCCTATTGCGAGTTGGACTCGCGCAAGAAAAGTTTCGTACCATTGTTCAGACAACATTAGACACTGATTATAATATCGTTTAGTTTTCAATTCAACTTTATTTATTTTATTTAATTAATAAAAATGACACTTACGTGTACATAATATTATTTTTTACTCTTTTATCGATAATGAATAAAATTCACTCAGTGATTTTGTTCACTTCACCTAAATAACATTTGTAACAGAGACCAAACACAATGACACCAGTAAAGTTTTTACTATGTTTATTAGTTAATTAAGTTTCAATTTAGTAGGTAGGTAGTATTACTCAAGATATACCAAAAACTAGAAGTCAAACGGATTAACTTATTTAGATATTATTATATTAAATTCCATCATACAGTTTGCAACCGAGATTAGGCAATGGTACGTGAGTGAAAATACAATACGCTCATTCGAAATGCTTAAGGCTCTCCCTCATAGTCACGTTATTATCGTGCGATAAATCAGTCAACACGAATTTAGAGTCTGAGTTCTTTGTACCAGATTTTAATTTGTTATACCTAATTAATGTAAGAAACAATATTTTTGTTTAAAAAATTTGGTTTTGTGGTTATCAGAATGAAATTTTTAATTTCACGGAAAAATTACTTACTTTTTTTCTTTGAGTTGTATATTACACGAAAGTAATAATTTATGTAATATATTTAAATCGATTTTATTAACTTAAAATAATGAAACCAAGTCTATGAATACAAAAAAGATATTGATTAGTTTAAAATAATGATATTTTTAGCATTTTTTATAATTTTTAAGTCTCTGAAAATTTAGGGAAGAATGTCATCAGAATTTCGAAGTAGAGCTATGATAAATTGTTTCAAGAAACCATTATTTTATGAAACGAAGACATAAAAATAAGAATGGGGTCCATAACGAATAAGAATATATCATACTTAATATTATATTTCTTTCTCTGACACTCTGAATGTGCTGCTCGTAGTGAAGTTAACAAAAATAACATGGAAATTGTGTATATCCTCATGTGACGCCCATATTTTATCCTGACTTCGAACAGGAAGTTAAAATTGAGCTTCAAAAACTTTATTAAGTCTTTAACTACTGGATAAACTAATGTTTTTGATTCTAAATTAAATAAGAGCTCCGCAAATAAAGCAAACAGTGTCCACTTTGTGTTTACTCATTTTGGAAGGCATTTTACCGCTCAAAATTCACAAAATACATCGTTTCTCTTCAATAAACCAACTTTTTATGCAGCGAAGACATAAAATAAGAATATGGTCCATAACGAATAAGGCTCGTATTACAGAATGACAACTAAGTGTTGATCTTTACTTGAGTACAGTTAGAAAGGGATATCGCTTTGTGCTATATATAGCGACATCCCTTTCTAACTATACTCAAGACTAGATCAATCACTGAGAATCTTTCTATAATACGGGCCTAAGAGTATATCATACTTAATATTATATTTATTTTTCTGACACTCTGCTGCTGGCAGTGAAGTAAACAAAAATAACATGGTCATGTGACGCCCATATTTTTTATCCTGACTTCGAATAGGAAGTTAAAATTCAGCTTCATGTACTTAATAAAGTGTTTAACTACTGGATAAATTAATGTTTTTGACCCTAAATTTAATAAAATATCCGCAAATAAAGCAAACAGAGTCCACTTAGTTTTTAGTCATTTTGGAAGGAATTTTACCGTTGAAGACTCACAAAATACGTCGTTTCTCTAAAATGTACACACACTGAGAGACTACTCTACTGCTTCCTGTTCCATGCTCGATATCTTTCTGCACTTATCTTTTGCTTATTAAGAGCAGTAGACCCTCAGCCTTTTTAAAAATCATACATTTTTTTATCATTGTATAAAGTACAAAAGTAAACATTTTTAAAATCAAAATGAGGTTTCTGGTTATTTTTCAATGTAAACAACTGGGCACTAGCATTAAATAACATACTTAAAAAAAACTTTCTTTAAATTTAAAATATCACTAATTGAGACTAAAATTTCCATAGATTTCGAGAAAATATTAATTAAAAACATCCCTAGTATGCAACAAAAAGGTAAAACTCGACATCAAATAATTCTACTGGTATTTCTTTATAATATTACTTCTATTTGTATTTCTCTTTTTTTATTTCACAAACAGTTAACTTTTAACTAACTAAAATTCAAGCCATTAGCACTCACTTATACGAACTTTACTTAATCAAGAAATCCCCTAGTAAAGCAGAACTAAGACGTCTAATTACGTGTTTGTTTGAGAAAAGTGTTTTGTGTAAGTAAAGGCCTATGGCTATGGAAGAAAACCAAAGAAGACGTCAGAAACGAAGGTAAATACTTTGATACAAATCACTAATCACATAGTACTATACTATTTTGATACAATCTGGGCAATCGCCGAGTAAAGAGGAAATTTTAATTATGTATCTGCCAGCTATGTGAAATTGTGCAAGCAAACTTTTATCAAAGTAGTCTCTTTACCTAAATTTGATTTGTATCAAAGTATTTACCTTCGTTTCTGACGTCTTCTTTGGTTTTCTTCCATAGCTACTAATATTGAAAATAATAAATCACTATCCATAATAAAGATTTTTAGAACACTTGTAAACTAATTTCGTCCTTGAAATACTAACGATCGCAGTTGAAGAATTTATATCGATTCATTGCAGGACGAAAAAATGCAATCGTTTTACTTCCATTGCGCCGTTATTATCGTAGCAGTGTGTTACGAATAATTCGTAGCTGTCCTAATACACAATGTACTAAAAACAGGTATCGTAATAACGCATACGGTATTATCGATATATAATATCGCGCCTATGGGGGAGAGCCTTTTTATCATTGCCATCAGTCTGTTGACATGCGTTTGCAAAAGCTGTGTCTACTATCTGCGGATCAGTGGGAAAAAGTAGATTCATAATATGAAATATGCTTGTCTAAAAACCAATAGAATTTTTTGCATACTGTGACTTTTTCTTATGATTTGTAAATAGACTGTACGACGTGTTAAAAAAAAGCTTTTTGATGGGAGGATAGTTGAATCCCGAGAGCAGCGAAGGATTCTATGTTCAGGTTTCTTGATTAAAATCCTAAGTGAAATTTTAATGATGTGAAACCACCATGCTATTGGATAAAAAGAATCGTAACATAAATGGTGGGATATTTTTTTGAATTCATTGTCCAGTTGCATTTATGGTTATACTTTCAGCAGGTTTTATTTATTTATTGAACTTTATAAAATTTGTGCTTGTTCCCACTCCAGAATGGTTATTTCGGTCAGTAAGTAAGTATTAATAAGTGAAGGATAATTTTAAAGTAGGTTTTTTATTGACAAAAGTGAAGGATAATCTTTCGTAGCCCATTTTAAGCACATTTTGTTAATGAAAGAGTGTGAGGCTTGCGCTTTAAAATATTTTATG